TTTGTGTCAATCCATTTTCATATCTAGTCAGATAATGTTAAATTTTTTAACTTATTGAGTTTTGTGTAATTCTCTGTTTTTCAGTATGAAAACCTCTGTCTCCTCTCTGGAGCTTTTGCTGGTTTGGCTGCTTTTTACTCTGAACTTCACGACCAGGTTACATTCTTTTTGTGTCTTCCAAACTGTGTCTCATGCTGCTTGTGTGAACTAATAAATGTGCTCTATCACAGGTATCCCACTCTCCCGTGGAGACTCTACAGCAGTTAGAACAGTTAGCCAGCACTGTGCTCCATCCATTGATAGAGCATCATGTCGTGGATTGGTGTTTTACACAAATCAGGTAACTACAGTTTTGTGAATTACGGTGAGATACACCTTTGAAAACTTTGTATTAGATTTGTCATAAGGAGTCATTAGTCAGAGCACTTTTTCATCAAGTGTCGTAAAACCAAAACCACTATACCGGTATTCGCGACCTTCAAAAGCCATCGAGAACTTAAAGTAAAAACAACCAAACTGCCTAAAGCGCGCGAAAAGGCGGGCGACCAAGGCGCGATGGGTTTTTCTTTGGCTTCTGATTGGTTGAGAAAGTGGCGCGAGTTCCCTGGGCCAATCACAGAGTAAAGTAAAGAAAAACCAATTGAAAGCAATCCTGGATAACTTTCGCCCAATGAAAGAAATGTTGTATGAGGCTGTTATTAGTGATTTTTAGTCTCTTAGTTTCCTTAATTTTAAGTTCCAGATCAGCTTATACCAAGACCAAACGATCAAAGCTTTGTAGAAAAGCTATTCCCAGTCTTCCAGACCTTGGTTCAATAGAACTGGTGAATCGTGGTACAGAACTGGCGGAGTCACACAGACCTGAACTGATTGCTTTCACTTCATGTACAATTGAACTCATGTATCATGTCACAAAGTTGCACAGAGGAATCACCCACAAGGTACGTTATGCATTCTTACGTTATGCTTTTGGTTACAAAACAATAACTATTTGGTCATCATGTTTCATAGACTATTTGAACAACCTTTCTCTCCATCGCCCATTTTCGGATTACATTTGGCCTCTATTTTGAAGTGAGTCCTGTTGTTCATCCTTTCACGTGATTATAAGGTTTCATTCACGTGCAAATCAAACTGATTTTCATACGAATGGTTTAGCACCACGCCTCGTTTTGAAAAAGAGGCCAAAGGCTTATTCTGTCACATGTCTTTCTTATGTATTTAATTTTTTTGTTTTACTATTAGTTCTCTGCTGTTCTTTCGAAGAAAGCGGTCTTGGAGTATTTGAAACTTGTCGTTGAATCCCAGGTTTGTATACAGTTTTTTTTTTATTTGATACGAAAGAAGAAAGCCTCAAACCGTTGGAACTCAAAATGGAGTGGAGTGCACGTTCTCGATTCATTCCAGTGTAATGACTGTTTTTTAAGTAGATTGCCTTGGCTCCAATGATTGTAGTTGTCACCAATAAGTATACACGTCATAACACACGTAATGGTCTTAGTGTAGTTTCCATGACTTGTCTGATTTGAACTTATCATATGACCCATACGCTTCTGCGCACGCTTTTATGGAAAAACATGAGGCAAAAGTCTCCGTGCGCGATGGCGTGAG